ACTAGTCCTGATAAATACATATATATATGTGCCCATGCTTTGTGCCGCAGCACGTCACAAACTTGTAGGAAACAAGCCAAGCAGGCAGCAGAGTGCCGTCCTGATATCCCATAGCAATGGCTCCCCATGGGAGCTTTTCTTTGCTAAATACCTCTCCCCTTCCTCTGGGTGGCCTGTGCTTCACCTTGCTGCTCATCTGATCCCCAGGCTGCTGCTTCCTTCCTATTTCCCTGGAGTTTGGCCGTGCAATGCAAACTCTCCGTATGGCTGTGGCATATCTGTGCCCTGCAGGGGAGAAGAAAGTCAGTCCCGAAGCAGATCCCCCGCTGCTCTAGCTGGAACCACGGCCCACACGCAGTGTCGGGCTGAGGCATGGACCTGTGTGATGATACATCTGCTGAGCAGTGTTATGTCCCCTGCCTGCAGCAGGTGAAATTTGGGAAGCTTTTTAGGCTGATCTCTGGAAGGGGGGGGATGGTTTTCTCCCACCCTCGGCATTGCCAGGATGCTCTGCTCTGCAATCAGCATCTGCAGGGCTGGGAGGACCAGCAGCACTTTTGTTCCCATGGAAACTCGGAGCGGGATGTCTGGGGCTTCCCTTTCTCTTCTGCTGCGGGTTAGAGATTAGCTGGGTGAAGGGGGGCTGGAGGTGAGGTGAGATGAGGGGCGAGGGGGAAGAAGGGCCAGTGCTCCACAGGTAGGAACGAGACCTCTACCCTCCAGCTGCAGCCGTGAGGGTGGTGAACAGCATCGCTTGACGAAGGGCAAGCAGTGGTAGGTTTTAGGGGTACAGTGACCTTGCCTGCATTGCGAAGATCCACAGAGCATCCTCCTGCCCGCAGGATGCTCAGCGTGAAGGCAGGGATGGAAACGACTCCCTTCTGGAGGGCAGTAAATGGTTAACAGCATGCATCCTGGTCTTAATTAATTACAGCCTGGTTTTGCTATCCCTCGTGCTGCGAGGGCTCCCAGCAGCTCTCCCAGCTCCCAGTCTGGCTGCCAGGGCTTGACATTTTCGGGGGTGTGAATGTGAGCCCTCAGCTCGTCTCTGCGTGCACCATGCTGGGGAGGAAAGGTCAGCGCTTGCGACGGGCAGCTTAAACCCCCGGCTCCGTTCCTGGCCGGCTTTCTCTGGCTGGGAGGAGAGCTCGGGCTGGAGAAGGAACAGGTTTTGAATGGGAAGGGTCTGGCAGGGGCTTCGTGACCAGCTTGCTTTTAAATATCTCAATCCGAGTTGGTAAGTAACTCCTGGAGCTGCCTGCCTCCCATTTTTGCTGGTGTTTTCATAGAGCATCAAAAATTGGGTGGTGATGGAGGCCACGTTCTTGCCTGCCACCCAGAGAAAGTGTCTTTCCATCCAGCACTGAGATCCACGACTTTTTACCACTTCTGCTCTTTGCTGTGTTGTGCTAGGAAGATAGAGAGACTGTCGGTTTTAGGGGGACCTTCCCACAGCCCCGGGGACGGGGACAGAAACAGCCAGAGCTCGGTGTCTCTGCTAGCCATGGAGGGGGACATCCGTGCAGGATGTGGCACCGGAGATGCTGGAGGGGGGATTCATGATTCATGACTCCTGAAAGTGGAGAAACAGTCTCGTAAAAAAAAAAAAAAGATAAAAATTCCTTTGTCCCCATTCCCTGCGCCTCTCTCCTTTCGTTACTAAGCAACTGGTCCTTGATCTTTCTGTCTCTCTTCTTTCCTTTGGTTCTCAAGTGAAGTCATTAAAATGTCTGGAGGGATGAAACTCATATTTCACCTCCTGCCTGTCTGGGGAAGGAGCCCCGGGGGCCAGGGTCCCTTGGGGACACCCTGCAGGGCTGATGGAGGGCTCTGTCTGGGCACGGATCCCAGCCAGGGCTGAGCAGAGAGGGACCCGCGTGTTTGCAAGATTGCACCTCATGCTGGGATCGGGCAGGGAGCAGACGGGATCAGAAGGGACAGAGCAGGTCCGTGCCATCGGCTGCAGCCGGCTCCAGCCCTAACGTTTGCTCTGCTCTCAGCCCTTCGCAGCCAGCCCGCATGTCTCTGCCACGAGGATCCGCGGCGCGGGCGCCCGGCGGCCGTCCCTGCTCCACCAGAGCTGCCTGTCCTTCTGCCACGACTCCCCGCCAGTGCCGGACGGGCTGCAGCAGGCGGCTCCGGGAAGGGGCTTGGGACCGCTCAATGCCAGCACGAGCCTGAGGTCTTCATCGGACAGCCGGAGCCCCGGGGATCTGGGTAACTGGGGAGAGAGGGAGGCACCGCCAGCCTCACCTGTCCGTGCCGGGGTTTCGGTGGCGTTGCATCGCGTTCTGTGCCACCGTCTAAAAATTCGAAAGTGTTAATTATGGTTTCTTGGTGGCAGTGGGGAATTCAGCTTCCACAGGTGTGATTAATTATCTGCCTCTCCCCTCTCTGCAGAGTCTGCCCAGCATCCTTCCTTCACGTTTGAAACGGAGACCTCCTCCGACTGGGAGCCCCAGGACTTCGACTTCAGCGCTGCCCACGGCTCCCCGCACTCCCCCAGGACCCTCTGCAAGGCGGTGGTGAAGGGGCTAAGGAGCAACGAGCCCGTGCAGTGGGAAGTCGCCTTTGATATCCGCCCTCTCTTCCAAGAGCGGGAGAGCCAGGCAGACGGCGACACAGACCTGTGGAGCGAGACTTTCCACCACCTGGCAGCCAAGTCGGTCATCCGGGACTTCGAGCAGCTTGCCGAGAAGGAGTGTGAAATCGAGCACGGTAATGTGCAGCTCCCGGCCAGCCTCCAAGCTGCCTCGGGGGGAGCTTTCCAGCAGCTTCAGCAGCATCTCAAGTTAACACAAGGGCAGGCAGTGGTGAAATATTACGGAATGTCTCACATAGTTCCCAAATGACAGCCCCCTCCAGCTGCCTTGCACTTTTCTCCTGCTCGTGCAGCCTCCCTGCACATTAACGTGCTCGAGCTTTTGCTCCTTCGTGCTCCTCTGCTTCACACGTCGGGTGGCAGTGATTATTTTTAAGGAGTTAGTCACCTGGAGCTGGGAGGTGGCATCAAACTCAGAGGGTCCAACAGCAGCCACACATCACTGCTCTGGGCTGCACATGTCCCTGGGTCTTGTCAAACTTCTCCTCCATGAAGTGCATCTGTGCATGTAAAATAAGAGCAGAAGAAGCAGTAGGCAGAGTTTAGAGGGTTACAGACCCTGCTGGGCATGGAGCCTGAGCATGGAGGTGGGTCTGGGAGCTGGGTCTGAGGGGTGGATGGAGCCCACAGGGCACGTGGACTCTAACCCTGCTGTCTCTAACGTGGCAGGGTCTGGGCGGCGGTACCAGGTCAATGCTGTCCACACCAGCAAGGCCTGCAACGTCATCAGCAAGTACACGGCGTTCATGCCGGTGGACCTGAGCACCAACGCCTACCTGCCCGCTGTCGTCGAGTACACCCACACGGGTAACATGGGGCCGGCGGAGAGGTGCATCGTTGTCCTGGGAGGGAGGGTGTCACTTGAGAAACCTCGCTCAGAGCAAACCCTATGAAGCCACGGCTCAATTCAGCACCAGATCTATGTACCCAAGGCCATGGCTGAGCCTATTGGCATGCCGGCCGCTCTTGGTGGCAAGAACCTCTTCCCCATGGCCAGGCAAAAGGTCTACTCTTAGGTCTGCGTGCCCAGAGTTGACCAAGCTCACCAGTCTGTGGGTTCTGTTGCCATCACGTGCGTGCCAGTCCCTCCCTAATGCTGGCAATTCCCTTCTCTCGTGCCAAGGGGCAGCATCCAAGCAAGGCAGCCAGAGGAGCCTGAGCTCGGGAAACAAAAGGCATCGTGGCTTTTCTCCTGGACGTCCCCAGTCAACTTGTGGCCAGAATGGAGACAATGGATTTTACGGCATGAGTAAGATTCTCTGGGGTTTTGTCTCCTTCCTGGTGTTACAGATCTCTGTGGTTTAGTCTATGAAGGAACATCTTCTCTGGTCTTTTTTCCTTCTGCCTTCCTCTTTGAATATGGTGCTCACCAGACATGTGTCTGGCTGGAGTCCATCTCCTTAAATGGGGAAGAAGCTGCAATTTCCCCTGAAACTCCCAAATCACCGGCAGTGGCTGCTGACAATGTTTGGAAGTTAATTGGCAGCCGTAACGCAGATAACACGAGGGATGAAACTGGGTGTAATTAGAGGCAAGGGGATGTGAGGCACCTGCTTGTCACCAAGTCCTCCGCTAATGAAGGCGAGTTGGATTGGCATTGTCAGGTCTGCAGCTGAATTAAAATCACCTCTGATCAGGCTCGTTAACCTGATAATGCCGCGGAGAGGGAGAGCGGCTGTGCCGCGGCCCGGCATGGTGGCCCGATGGCAGTTTCGGCTGGGTGGCATTGCTGATGTGGTTCCTCCGTTGCAGATGCAGAGGAGAGCAGCCTGTCGCCCTGCAGCACCCATTCCTCCTCTGGCTGCGGTCTCCCCGAAGGTAGGGGAAAGAGCTGACGGTACTTGCCAGGGTGCAGGTGCATCGCGTCTGTGATTTGGGCTCTTCACCAAATACTTCTGCTGAGTTTTTGGGGTTTTTATAAAACCTTATGACCTAAAGTTAGGCCTGTGAGCACAAGGTCTGACTCCTTCTGGGCTGCAAAGGACAGAGCCTGATGGGGCCTTTGGTATGGATTTCCCCCAGGTTCATTTTTGAGAGGTGGAGGAATTTCATTATCCACATAGGAAAAATGAGGCAAGGGGAGAGGAGGCATTTTGCCAAAGACTCAGCAGCAGAACAAGCCACCCCATGTCCCAGTGCGTAGACTCTGCTCCCTTTTGCTCTCCTGTAGCACCTCGATTTACCCCCAGCTTTGTGTTTCTTCCCAGGGCCGTTACAGAGCCTGTCTGCTTCCTCTGCACAAGCCCAAAAATCCATTGAGAGCCTCTTTGCTGCTAGGTATGGGCCAGCTCGACCTTCCTCTGACCTTAGCAGATGTCTTGCACCTCCGTGGGTCCGATGCAAACATAAGCGAGGAGGAGAGGAGGGACACCCCAGGGTTAGCGGCCGGAGCCGGGACCGAGCACGATGCCAGTGTCTGGGGACCAGGGATGGTTTTCGGAGGGGAGGGTGGGCGTCAGGAGGGGCACGGAGGTTATGGCCACCTTTTCATCCTCCTGCAGGCTGACCTTCAATAAAACCAGGCTGCTGACTCGAGCCGCCAAAGGATTCATGAGTAAATCTCCAAGCAGAGTGAGCGAAGCCAGCTCCGAGGGCGACAATGAGAACATAGACTACCTTCCCCTGGTGAGCAGCTCGTTCCCGGGTCTTGCCGGGGTTGCATGGTCACTGCAGAGGAGCAGAAGGCAGGAGGATCCCCTGGATCCTGCCTCTTGCTGTCTCTGATGGCCATGTCCGATGGTCTGCTCAGAGTCGGAGAGCTGCTCCATCCATGCATGCCTTTTTCCTGAACTTCCCAGAAGTTGTTGGTATGTCAGAGCTTCTCTGTGTGCCCACCGTTCCTTGCAGGCGTCTCTGCAGCTGGCCTGCGGTGCCTTTCTCATGAACTCGGCCTTCTGCGACGCCGTCAACATCCCCATGGAGAAGCTGAAGTGGACATCTCCCTTTGCCTGCCACCGCCTGGCCCTCAGCCCCTCCAGCTCCTACAGCACCAAGAAGGCCAATCCCTCCGGGGACCACAAAAGCCTCGGCTCCGGCCGGCAGCTCCTGGTTCCCGATGGCGTGCACGGGAAGAGTCCCACCACCAGAGACGTCGCTCTTGGTGCTGTGCCGGAGAGACCCAGCAGCCACGCGGAAGACACTGGCCACCTTCGCCACTTCTCAGGCAGCGCAGTGGAAAGCATCTCCAAAGCCCTGAAAGCCGAGAAGGAACTCTCTCCGCCGGCCATCACCATCCGCCGCTTCTCCTCCCCGGAGAGTACGCTGGCCTCAGCCGAGTGGCAAGCCAACAGCGGCCAGGGCTCGGAGACGGATGGCTCCAAGGTCCAGGCGTTGCTTTTTGACATCGAGTTGCAGCAGCAGACGGAGCC